TGTTGTATATATGCTTATAACGAAATACGGTTATGACGAACTAAAATAAGTGGCACCTTTAAGTTCGTAATAACCGTAGTTTTCTGTACTTAATATCGGATTAGGTGAACAATACAATGAGGGATTACTGTCTGGGAGCATTTCAAATTTTTTAACTTTTTATCCCCCGCCGGGCCAGAATGGCCGAAGGGGGATTATGTCGTGGCGCAGTCCGTCCGTCTGTCTGTCTGTCCGTCCGTCCGTCTGTCCGTCCCACAGAGGGTACTAAGCTTGTGAAATCAACTCCTCCTACAGTTTCCAGAGAATATCCCTGAAACTCTACACACAAGATGTCAACATGTTGATGATACACATATCGCAGTCCCGTTTCAGTTCTACTAGTTTTGACAGAGTTACTGCCCCTGTTTTACGGAGCTTCATTTGCTTAATTGTGAGAGAGGGTACTAAGCTTGTGAAATCAACTCCTCCTACAGTTTCCAGAGAATATCCCTGACACTCTACACACAAGATGTCGACATGTTGATGATACACATATCGCAGTCCCGTTTCATTTCGACAAATTTTGACAGAGTTACTGCCCCTGTTTTACGGAGCTTCATGAAATCTACTCTTCCTCCAGTTTCCAGAGAATATCACAATATCTAACTATAACTATAACTATAACTATAGTTAGTTTCCTTGTATAAGGCTTTTGTGGGTGAGCTACATCCTTATGGCATTAGCATTCAGACTGGATTACTTCCAACAAAATGTTCTGCACAATTTGTTTCAAATGCAGTGCCATCTACTGTTGTTATTTCATAAAATACAAAGAATATCTAAACTCGTTAAAAAAATTCATGCGGGGGATGTTGTGCTCTCAGAGCACTCTTGTTCTATATTGCCTGTAGCGTATACTTAAAAGTAAAATAAAAATAAGACGTAAAATCTCAATCAATATCATTATTACAGTAAACTACGGTCATAAAGAACTCAAAGCGACCTCTAATTTTAGTTCGTTGTAGCCGTGGTTCGTTATATGCATATATACAGCATAACTACAGCAAATAGTCAGGACAAAAAAGTATGTTCATTATATCCGTCAGTTCGTTATAAGCGTGTTCGTTATAACTGTAGTTTACTAATTGGAAACTAATTTTACGTACACCAACATAAAGTCAATGCAGCATTAACAAATATTTACAAGTATGTTTGAAGTATTGGGCACATGATGACTGTTGATTTGTTGGTGTATGCTTGTCTCACCTGTCATAACGTGAACACTTCTCTGAGTGGGCACGGGTGGCCCAGTCGTCTAAGGCGCCGCGATTCGCTGTGCAGAGTTGCGTCCCTTGGACACGCCAGAAACCTATGATTGTGGGTTCGAATCCCGGTTCGCACCGATTATGTTTCTAGGTTTGTCAGCACCATACCCGTGCTCGTGGGTTTCACCGAAGTGGTAAACGTCTGAGACCTGCATCACTTCGGGCTTTCCTCCCACATTAAGCTGACACGCCGTGATATAACTGGAATACTGTTAAAAGCGGCGTTAAACCCAACTCATTCACTCACTTCTCTATAGCTGACGCTGAATGTGCGACTGCACGTGCTAAAAACGTGGAAAGGCTGCATAACTTGGCCTACTTCCAGCGTAGTCCCTGGTATGCCAGCTGTGTTGAAATTCTGTTGAGATTGCCAAAGGCCAACAGTCCTTCGTCTGGGGTGTGTTACAATCTCATTACAATCTGATCTTATTTTTCGCTACCGCTAAACAAAGATCTGAGGACATCCCATTACGGGTCACGTCAGAACGACTTTTCGCGAATTTTGACCGACCAATGAAATGTCTGACCAGAAATCGACATTAGCCAATCAGAAGGCAGCTTTCTCGAGCTTTACCGGTACACTAGTTTCAAACTGGCGACAACGCTTCGAAACATATTTTGACGTATTCTCGATTAAAAAAATTAAAACTGATAAGAAGAACATTCTGGAATGGCTTATAGATGGCCTAGATTTACAGGATATAATCATAAAACCCGTAACTGTCGTTCGGAATACCCCGTGTTAAATATTTCGTGGTTGCATGATTAGAAAACACATTCCGATTGAGGTCGTTCTGACGTGACCCTAAATGGGCTCTCCTCGGATCTTTGTTTAGCGAAAGCGACAACTAAGAGAAGATTTTAATGAGATTGGGGTGTGTTACAAATTCGTACACTTTCTTAGTTTCATAGCATGATATTCTAGATGAAGTAAGTATTTTGCCATCTTGAGTCTTGATCTTTATCGAAAACATTCTGTATGTTGTGTATGTTCTTGTAAGCCGTTGGTTGCTCTTCAGAAATTTATACTGTTTGTTTGTTTGTTGTTTTACGCCGCACTCAGCAATATTCCAGCTATATGACTTAATACTGTACTGCATTGAGGAAACAGTCAACAGTGTCATCGTTGCAAGCGCCCACAATATTACTAAGTGAATTTAGAGATACACATTTAAAGAAATCACCAGTGCATATATACTCACCGCCAAAAGAAACGCGAAACCAAGAAACTTACAGAGAATTATATACTCGTTAAAAAGAGATGTTTCGAAACAAAACTATCAATCAGTCAAGTGTTACCACAGTGTCTTTATTCTTAACGCGATATGCTGCACGTGATGTCCAAACTTTACAAGCCAATCCTGCACGAGACAAATGTGCATCTCGAGTCGTGGATCTATGACGTCACAAGTGATGCGTTCATGAGCATCGGTTCAGACAATATACCAGTATGTTCGTGTGTGCATCGAACCAATCTAATGTCTCCTTGATATGAGTAAGTCTTCCTATATAAACCAACAAGTACATGTCATCGATCCCAATCGCTTGGATCGATGCTCATGATGTCAATCACTGGACTGTCTGGTCCAGACTAGATTATTTACAGACCGCCGTCATATAGCTGGAATATTGCTGAGTGCGGCGTTAAACAACAAACAAACAAAACATGTACACAATTCGCGTTTCTTTTCGCGGTCAGTATATATAAACAATAAAACAACAAAAAAACGTACGCAATTCGCGTTTCTTTTCGCGGTCAGTATATATTGGTGTGAGTGCGTGTTTATTTTCTACAGTTTCCAGTGGTATAGTCAAAGATATTTCAAAAGGTAAGGGAGGAGTTCAAGTTGTGATCCCGTGCTCGATTTCAGCACCTATTACACTGTTTCAATACGTAACCACACAACGTTAAGTTGTCCGTTTAATGTGCCGCGATTCGCTGTGCAGAGTTGCGTCCCTTGGGCATGCCAGAAACCTATGATTGTGGATTACCTCATACCTCAGCTATCAGTGTTTACGAGTGTTGGCAGATTCGAAACTTGCATCCACGATTTATCGAAAATGTTTCAGCTGGAGTCAGATATGACATCTGATTGGTCAGCTGGGGTATTACTGGGGTGAAGTACATGTAAGAGTCATTCATGGCAGAACAATGTCATGTTTGCTTATCAAATCCGCTCTGCACGTCACACCTGTTGCCGTGTTCGACAAAGACAAAGGAACCGCTGAGAGGTGTTTCAGTCAGAAGATAATCGGCTAGTGCTCTGTAAACATCCCCCGATTGGCACATATTATTAGCACAAGTTAAAACAACATTTACTCGTTTGCGACCACATGCACCCATAATAATATGATGTTATGAAAGCAGTTACACCTTACCGCTGCCATCTTCAAGGGACAAGGGAGTTAACCGACTTTAAAAGTCCAGTTTCCACCCTTGCCGAACTAGGCTGGAATTCCTGGGCTCGATCGTAGCGCCACCAGTGGCTATTACGAGTTATGTCCCTTCTAAGCCTCTCCTATGGACCAATCAGATTCCACCTCTCATATCACTTGCGTTTGCTTCACACAAAATGGTGGCGCCCGGTCAGGACGATCTGATTGATAATCAAGATCTATAGTGTGATAAAACGAGTCTTACATCGCGAAATGCATCAAATCACGTGAGCACCTTGATTAAAAATATGAAAAGAATTGGAAAATATCTGCTGACAACGAGTTGGCGGTGCACATGCTTTGCAAATCCTGCAATCGACCGAAATCTGCACGACAGTTTACGAACCGGATTTCTATTTCGGTTCCGCGATTTTGATTGGACTATGCATAGACTCGTTAGTCCAGCCAAAATGTAACTCCACAATACCAGCCTAGTTCGGCAAGGGTGGAAACTGGACTTTTTATAGTCAGTTTACTCTCTTGCCTCGGGAAGATGTACCGCTGCAGACACTGGCATCTATTGGAATTTCCCCCAACAACAGATACTTCATCAAATATTAAATTGATACATGCGGTTTGGAGGTGTTCTGAATATAACCATCAAGAGAAGGCATTCAATCATACATTTACCGTACACAATGTGTCATTTCCGGGTTCTAACGGTAGGACCGGACATCCACTTCACCTCGTAACCATTCCTGATTTTCAGTGATCCATTATTATAATGTTCACCACAATTTTTATTGCTTGAAGACATGGTCCAAATAATACAATCAAGTTTTGATTGTTGGAAACTGTCACGATTCCAGTATGTGTGTTTCAAGGATTTGTAATTATTTTTATTATAAGCATACCCTTTAACCAGTGGTCTATATAGTTAACTCATTCAAGACGACTTGAATCAAGCGAGTAAACACCTTTGATTCTACCCCACGCCAAGGAGTCTGCCACCTCCTGCTTATTGCTGAAACAACATGCCTGTTAATGATAGCAGTGTCGGCTTGTACCCTTGAACGAGATTGTTTATAGAGGTTTTAATTATGAGTGACTCGATAAACAACATTTCACACGGATTAGTTAGTGATGTCGCGACATCCAGACACTGGGAGGAGCTTATCTTAGCATTTGATGGCTCAGAGGCTTTTTACCACATCCACCACCCAATTATCCACGTGATACAGCTGGGTATATAACTACCCAGTACATGCGTTAGTCCACCGTTCGCCGTGTGCGAAATACGCATCAGTCTGAAAGCGCTCGTTAAATCTCCAAAGTAAGTAAGTAAGTAAGTTAGTCCACCATACGCATTGTTCACCATGGACGTACCATCTCACCTGCTTCAACCTCTCAGTATCGACACCAACATCGTCTACGACTTGGATACCACCAAGTTCCCCGGTCTGGACCATCCACAACACATGTATCATCCTGCTCTGTTGGTAACGTCAACGGCGACACGACAGTCGTGGTTGTCGGCCCTGAAGCACGACGACATCTCCGAAGATTTACTCACTGATGATCTGTTTGATCTTATAGGTATGTATCAACCTCATATGAATAGATACATTTAGCATGTCAGCATAAGCCATGGTGGAGATATCAAACGACAAAGTATCCAATAAAATCGGAGCTCAGTACAAAATGTGAGGTGGAACCGTCTTATATTCCTTAATTCACTATATTCATGTCCTTGTTTCACAGAAAACTGCTTCACAGAAAACGTCCAACATCCTGTCAGTAGTGACTCCGATTCCACATTGGCCCAGAGTGTGTTTGATGACATCATCGACTCAACATCATCTGACCAACTAGAAGACGACTTCAGTCTCTCAGATGTCACGTGGTTCCAGACAGATTCCTGCGCGACTTTCCCCTGCCCTCCATCTGGCCAACAAGTGCACCCGTCTTCACCTTGTTGGGATAGTTCATGTGTCTCTTCTACATGTACCATGAGTCTGAAGAGAAAACGAGAATCTGATGACTTGGATTTGGCCAAGAGAAGCAAACTGGATGACCTCATCAGCTCTTGGATTTGTGTACCCATAGAGACGTATGACATGTGTGTTCGAGGTTTCTAGAGTGGATTTTAAAGGGTTGGCTGTTGCTATGTTGGAAGATGATTTGTTACTTGTAACTGACAGTGGCTTTGTTTGACCTTATTTATGTCGGCACTGATTTATCATTGAATAACAAAGAGGCTACAAAAATCAGTAATGTACACCTTGATAGTGCTACCATGTTCGTTTTATGTAAACCTTATTAAGTTAAACACAAACTGAAATTAATGTTTTCTTGTTCTTTATATCTTACACGATGTCGTGACAATCATCACATGGTTGCATCTTTTTCACCTTCACATATGTTATATCTGGAGTTTCACTTTCTTGGAAAAGTATAAATTCTAGTCCTTGGAGGAGTGAAGTCCAATCCGGGATCCGAACCAAGGCACCTTATCGCCAGCACACAAAGTCAGCGAACCAAGCCACTCAAACATCGAGGCTTCTATGGAAATCTGACAATTGATAGTCTAGAACACGTACTCTGTCTACCCTTCTGATATGTATAAAACGGCTCGGCTCCCATGGTCGAATGCCATGAATATACAATGCATTTTTGAAAGGTATCAAATGTAAGATGTTATATTTGGGATTATATTCTTTCTTTGGACAAATTGTAGCGAAAATGTCTGACTTGTACATGTTGATGGTGCGACCATGTTCGTATTATTGCACATATTACTCTTTTACGGGTTGTTGAAACCTTATTAGGTTAAACACAAACTGAATGAAATGTTTTCTCCATGATGTCATGGCACTGATCTGTTATACAGATGGCAATATTTGCATAGTTGTTTCATAGTTGATAATCAAGATTGCGAGTGAACACTGTGGAGGAAACGTTTATTAAAGTGTCACACGCACAACATGTACAATATAAAATCGATGCACATAAGATAAAAGGTGTATGGAGTGCGCCCTGCCAGACATTGGCTTATGAGACACTATATACAATATAAACAAAATATATACATAATATATTTATCATCCAAAACTGGCTCACACAGGAGATATCGCTTGGGTGAGATCAAGCGATATCTACACTGTAGCAGTACTTTTTACACTTAAGACACTGCTTATTACTGCCAACAAACTGATAAGTTGGAAGAATGATGTTGGATGATAAATAAAATCTCACCCTTGTGTCTTTTGATATCAAATATATCAACACTCGTTGATAAAAGTGGAAAAAATCCTCGGCAAGCCTCGGAGATTTCCCACTTTTATCAACTCGTGTTGATATATTTGATATCAAAAGACACTCGGGTGACATTCGCTATATCATGTGGGAGGTGGGAAATTTAGCTACGAAATCAGAAGACTTACAGGAAACAATAACAAACTCCTCGATTCAACAATGAAAGGAAAAGAAAGGATAGAGAGAGAGGTAATTTAATAATCATGGCGACGACTGTCGTCTCTTAAACATTTTAAAGCGTTGCGGCAAGATAACAATCCAGTTACGATGACCCGCAAGCAAAGATGTCACCGTGCCTTACCATACTACCGTACTATATATAATCATAGTTTGCCGGGAACCAATCCTACACACCGATCCAAAGAAGAGGCCATGTGTTTGTTGTAGGGTTTTGTCTTGCCAGGTGAAGTAAGTTGAAATTGTGCAGCAGTTGATGAGTTGGATGATGCTGTCTGTATGGGTCTGATGGGTATATAGAGCATCGACCATTTCTGTATCTGTATATTAGTATCTGCACCGAAACGTCAACCATTGTAATAAAGAAGTTGTATATCCATAGAACTATTTCCCTTATTCAGTGAATATATTGTCAGGGAGGCTGTCTTTCTCCAAGACGACAACCATGGCTACCATGTTAGTGCTCACGCCACCAACATAAACGGTTACATGCCGCCTAAGCCACATTTCGAAAATAGATAGCCAAATATTTTCTTTCAAACAGCAGATATTGTTGGGAACAGGGTATTCATTGCCGTGTACCGTATTGACATTTAATAGACTATTTCCGATTTTGAGTTATTTTACGATTCACCGGAGCCAAAGGGACTGTAGCGTATTTTCAAAACAGTTAACTTCGCACTCTTCCCATCGTTATCACTTTCTCACATTTGGATAATGTTGGAAGATTTTAATAGCTTCTTCCGAAAAAATCAATTCCAGAGCTACACTGGCATGACTGTCTGAGGAAGTTTAGACTCAGCTATTGCCATGTCATCATAAACGATGTTTGATGTGTGAGGTGATGTGAAATGGGGTTTAACGTAGCGTCTAAGAGTTTTGCACTTATTTAGCGACGCGCGTGTGTCTTCAAGTTTAACATGAGTGAGTGAGTGAGTATGGTTTTACGCCGCTTTTAGCAATATTCCAGCAATATCACGGCGGGGGACACCAGAAATGGGCTTCACACATTGTACCCATGTCGGGAATCGAACCCGGGTCTTCGGCGTGACGAGCGAACGCTTTAACCACTAGGCTACCCGACCGCCCCCAAGTTTAACATGCAAACCCCACCCAGACACAGTAGACTGAATCCTTCCAGTCCTTGTTTAAGCCTCTTAATGCCGAGGGCCAGGCAGGGTAATAACAAGTACCGTCTTTTTGGTATGACGTGGCCGGGGATCGAACCCCCGACCTTCCGCTCACCTGGTAGACGATACACCACTAGACCACGGAGGCGGTCAAACGATATGGAATCATTTGGTACTAATTTACAATTCAACAAATGTTTCTACTTTCACATGTCTATCATATTGTTGACATTATTATTGCTTAGAACACATACAATGCCGAAATTCAAACTAACACCACATCGAACAGCCTGGACTCATACCAAGAAACTCCATTAGTTCAAAGTTACCGACCATTTCATATTTTGGGTTCCTGGGAATTTTTGGAAAGATTATGTAATACCGGAAAATATTATTTGGCCTTTGGCTTAAAAAACTAATCGTTTACCTGCTTTCAGTGTCTGAATATAAAAACGGCTGTAAATTCATAAACAACAGATATAGCAAGCCAGAATCTACAGCAAAATAGGATGATATATAAGTTCATTTTACAACTAAACAATTGAATGATATATACATGCTGCCATTTCAATGTGAAAAAATATATACAAAATGCAACAAAGAATTATAGCAACAAATTAAATAGTTTGTGACTTGTTTTTCTTAATAATTTGTACTCCTTTCCATCAACCGCACCAAAATGTTGACCACGCGTAAATAAAAATAATGCTTCTATTACTTTCTACTGGGGCGGTACTAACATAAGTCAGACGACTTGTTTACTATTCCAGATTCATTTACTGGATAAAAATATGTTTAAATGATCATTTATTGACATAAGAAAAAAATATAGACTGAAACTTCACTTTTTTCAATATAATGGCCATGTGTGAAAAAAATGTACTAACAGTACCCCAAGAAAAGTAACGGGTCCTCTGAAAACGGCTGTAAATTCATTAACAATAGATATAGCAAGCCAAAATGTGAAGAAATAGAGGATGTATTAGTTCATTTTACAACTAAAGAATGAAATAATATACCGAATTACGATGGTTTCTGTTTAGAATACAACAAAGAATTATAGCAACAAATACATATTTGGAAATGATCATTTGCTAAGCACAATGAATGGTAAGTGTCATATATTTAGCATAAATATCTCTGATCACCAACAGATAATAAGATTGTTCACCTAGGCTAATTCCGTCTCAGGTTATTGTTAGTCTCAAGGCTTAATTAACTTCATATGACTGTTCTGCTATTACAAAAGGTAAATTTCCTTTGTTGTTTTAACAAAGTGTAGAGACAATTACAGCCAGTGGTCTATGTAATTAACTCATTCAAGACAACTTGAATCAAGCAGGTACACAGCTTTGATGCTACTCCACGCCAAAATGTCTGTCGCCTCCTTGATCATTGCTCAAACAACATCTGTTAATGACAGTAATGTCGGCTTGTACACATGAAAGGAGTTGTTTCTTTAGTGGTTTGTAAAGCTATATCTATGTTAAAAGAAGACAAAACTATAAAAGTTAATTATCATTATTAGTGCAATTATTATTGTTACTTTAAAAAAGTTAAACACCACTTTCATTTTTATTAGTATAGTACATATATAAAATTTTATTTATTTGTTTTATATTGTTATTATTATTTCCATCATTGTTCTAAAAAGATCTGTGTTGCCAAGTGACCCTGATTGTACACAGAATATGGCCCCTTGGGGATTCCGGACTACAATGAAATAGGCAATCCAGACTCGACTATGTAAATGTCATACAGATGGAATATTACTGAGTTTGACGTAAAACAATAAAACAAATCACCAGTCTAGTTAACAAAGCCATCTAGTTGAACAGACAGGCCGGTGTAAGCTTCTGAGGTGACAGCGTATCCTACACACATGTACGTTTCATGGAAAGATGCCTTACTCCGTTGGTGTGGGTTCGAATCCCGGATGGATTGAGAACTGGAATTTGTCCTTTGCTAAGAATGTATCCCAAATACAAGAATAACACGTTACATATGACCACTTTGAAAAGGACATTGTCGTATTCATGGCATTCGGCCATTGGAGCCGTGTCAGTTTACAGAGGGGTACGCAAGGTACGTGATCTAGACTTTCATTTGTCAGGCTTCCATATTTGTTGAAGCCTTAAAGTTGAGTGACTTGGTTTGATGACTTTGTGTGCTGGCGATTAGACACATCATTGTAACGACACCATGGAAGAAATGAAGAACTAGAGACATTTCTTTCGGTTTGTATTTAAATCGTTTTCAACAAATTGTAAATGGGCAATATGTGCATTAAACAAACATGGAAGCACTATCAAGATGTACAATTCAGACTTTTGTAGCCACTTTGTTATTCAATGATAAAACATTGCCGACATAAATAAGGTCAAACATAGCCACTGTCAGTAACAACTAACAAGCATTAACAAGCATTCCAATAACCAAGATTTTAAAATCCGCTCTAGAAACCTCGAACACACATGTTATACGTCTCTTTGGGGACATAAACCCAAGAGCTGATGAGGTCATCCAGTTTGCTTCTCTTGGCCAAATCCAAGTCATCAGATTCTCGTTTTCTCTTCA